ATTGGTCATAGATTCAGTTGTGATAGTGAAATATTTCTCAGCAATAAAAAATAAATTACTGCTGCAAACAATAATATGGAAGACCTGAACACATATGTTGAGCAAAAGAGTGAGATACAAAAACAGCAGACATCATAAGGCCCAGTTAAATGAAACTGCAGAAGTCATCTGTAATGACAGTAATCAGAACACTGGCTGACCACGGGGAGTGGAATTAACTGCAGTCATGGAAATGCTCTACATTTTCACTGGGATGTAAATCACACAGGTGTGTGTGTGTGTGTGTGTGTGTGTGTGTGTCTGTGTGTGTGTGTACGTACACACAGATTAAACATGACCCACAGTCAAGAAAAACGAGTCAATAGGAGTGGACTACGAGATGGTCCAGATGCTGGATTTAGCAGACAAAGACTTTAAGGCAGCTTTTACAAGCAAGACCAAGGATGCCGGAAGAATATGGTCTTAAATGCGCAGATGGGAAATAGAGAAATGAAAACTATAAAAGAAGCAGCAAATGGAAATTCTTTTTTTTTTTTTTTCCTTTTTGTCTTTTTTTCGTGTCCGGCAACAGATCGCAACCCTCAGTGTCGCGCCCGTACCGGACCGGACCGGCAACGGGATCGCAACCCTCGGTGTTGCGCCCGCACCTCACTCAGCCAGTGAGCAGGAACCGGTCTGTATGTGGGATCCGAACCCTCGGCAGGAGCGCCACCGCGCTCCCAAGCAGCGCACTGTAGCAGTGCGCCACCAGGCCGGCCCAGCAAATAGAAATTCTAGAACTGAAAAGAACAATAACTGAAATGATATTAAAAGATTAAAAATAAAAAATATAAAAAGAACAGATTTGGACTTCCTAGTCTTTGAATTGTAAGAAATAAATTTTATCTATTAAACAAAACAAAATAGAACAGAGCCTCTGTGACCTGTGGGGCCATATTAAGCAATCCAACCTGTGTGTAATTAAATTCTCAGAAGGAGGAGAGAGAGAGAAAAAAAAAAAAAAAACAAGGATGGGGGAAAAAAGTTTAATGAATAATGGCTGAACATCTCCTAAATTTGTTTTAAAAAATGAACATACAGACCCAAGAGCATTGGTGAAATCCAAGCAAGATAAATGCTAAGAAAACTATACCTAAGCAAATCACAGTACAACTGCTAGAACCAAACTAAAGAAAGACACATTACATGCAGCACCACACTCAGGCAAATGACCGCTGTATGCTCAGCAAAAAGGAAAGGGCCAGGAGACAATGAAACTTTTCTTTGTTAGCACTTTTTCTTTTAAAATGCTAAAAGAAAAAAGACACCCACCCAGATTTCGCCATCTAGTGAAAATATCCTTTACAAACAAAACAAAACAGTGAAATAAAGATTCTCTCCAAAGAGGAGAGCATTTTTCTCCAGGAGAACCACACTGTAAGCAATACTAAAGAATATTCTTCAGGCTAAAAAGAAATGACCTCAGATGAAAATAGGATCTTCAGGAAGGACTGAACAGTGCCAGAAATAATTAGTAAGTATGAGGAAAAATATTTACAAATTATCCACTTTTTCTGTATTCTCTTAATTTCCTTAAAAGGCAAGTGTCTATTTTAAAGCAAAATAATAATTAATAATAATAATAATAACAATGACAACAACAACATTGTAAAGTGTGGTTTATAACATCTGTGAAGGTAAAAGATACAACAACAACAGTACAAAATAAGGGTCTGGGGAGGAGGTCAGTGAGATACAGTGTTGCAAGCTCCTTGTATTTGTGCATCAGGAGGTCGTACATCCTTCACTCTAAGGAGACTGTGATAAATTAAGGATGCACACAACGTCCCCGAGCAAATACTTTAGCAAACAGACAAATGCAGATGTACCAAAAGGCAAAAAGAGGAAATAAAATGAAATAAAAAATATCTTTTGATTGATGCAAAAGAAGGCAAACAAGGAGTTACAGTGAAACAAAAACCATTTTAAAGGCCAAACAGAAAACCACTAAGAACCCGGCTGATTTCTGGAGAATGAGAGATGTGGAGGGCCGAGCAGGCCAATTATAAAAGGCAGAAATTGTCAGACTAGATTCAAGAAAAAAACAAAGAAACTGGACCCAACTCCATGCTGTCTACATGACAATCACTTTCAATTTAAAGACAAATACAGGCCAAAATTTTAAAAGGCTGAGAAAAAGATATCCTATATCCTGCAAACAAGTAAAAGAAAGTTGATGTTGGTTATATTAACAATAGGCAAGGCAGATTTCAAGACAGGAGTATTTTCAAGATAAAAAGGAATATTTCAGGACAGAAAGGTCACACTCCATGAGGAAGACGTAACAATCATAAAGGTGCATGTACCTAATTGACAGAGTTTCTAAATGAATGAAGCAAAAACTGATATAATTAAAGGGAAACAGATAATTTTCATAATCTATTTGGCTATCTAATGCCCTCGCTCAGGAATTTACAGAATCAGCCCCCCCAAAATCAGTAAAGACACAGAAGATTTGAACAAAGCTATCAACCACACTGACCTAATTTGCTATATATAGAACATTGTGCCCCCAAGTGCGATAGTGAACACAGAATGTTCACCAGGATAGAACACAATCTGGGACACAAAGTAAGTCTCAAAAATGTTTAGAAGATTGAAATATCAAAGAATCTGTTCTCTGGTCATAATGAAACTAAATAATAAATGTATGTTATCTAGAAAATACCCCCAAATATACAAAAGTGAACTACCATGTTACTCAGTAATCCCATGGGTCAAAGAAGGAATCAAAAGGAAATTTTTAAATATTCTGAGTAGAATGAGAATAAAAGCACAACATGCCAAAACATGGGAAATGCAAGAAGAAATTTTACAAATCAATGAAACAGAAAATAAACAATAAAGAAAATTATCAAAGCCAAAAGTTGGTTCTGTAAGAAAATTAATATACCTGATAAACCTGTCACAAACGTATTCAAGAAAAACAGAAAGAAAACAAAAATTACTGACATCAGAATAAAAAGAAGGAACATCACAAGAGCTCCTGCAACTATTAAAGGAATAATAAAGTAACATTGTGACATTTATGAAAATAAATTTAATAATCTAGATGAAATAGAAAACTCCTTGAAGAAGATAACTAATAAAAACTGACTCACAAGGAAGTACCGAAATCTAAATAACCCTATATTACAGAAACTCAAGTCATAGTTTAAAATCTTCACACAGAGAAAATTCCAGGCCCAGACAGTGTCACTGGGGAATTCTGCCAAGCATTTAGGGAAGAATTCTTCCAGAAAAAAGACGAGAAATATTTCCCAAGTTCTAGTATGAAGCCAATGCAATTATAATACGAAAACCTAACGAAGACATGAATATGAGAAAATGAAAAGTCACAGACAGATTTGTGACAGAGCACATCGCAGAAACCCTTACTAAGAGCAAACGGGGGCAGGCAACTAAGGGTCACGCACACTAAGGGTGGTGTTTATCAGAGGAAAGCACGATAGAGTTAATGTTTGCAGAATCAGTGCAACTCAACACGTTAAAACAAGACAGGGAAAATCCAGACGGACGTGAACTGGTAGCATGTTGATTGCCTGGCCGGAAATCCTGATTTAAACTCTTTCTGAAAGAAGCTCACATTTCACGAAAGCAGTTGGCAAGTGAGCAGACAACCTACCTGGATCCGGAGAATAGTTGTTTTGGGGACAAACAGAGAGGGCTGGGGGGACTGAAGCTATTCCTCTGGACACTGTGGTTTGGGATACATCCTGTTGGCTCTCCCACCGGCCCTATTGAGGACAGAATGGATAATTTTGTTTCAAAGAAATCGATTAAAAGAATCTAAAAACTGTTCCATATTACTAAAGCTTGCTTCCCTTTGCAGGACACAAGCTTGATATGTACTTTTCTTCTTACACCTGTCACCTTGCTCAGTACTAGCTTCCCTAGCAATAGGAACACTGGCATCTGGGTACCCCTCCCCAGGGCGTCCCGGCCTACAGCCCTTCCAACCGCACCACGCGGCCGCCGCAGCAGGACCATCAGGTTGGGCTTGTGGGAATCCCCCTGCGAGTTCTGCTTCTGCAGCTGCACTCGGACCCCACACACCTTCCCCTGCTCCCGCCTCTCAAATGACACCCAGGAACGGCCCTATCGCTGAAAGGGCCTCTGCTCTCCTCTCCAGGAGGGGATGCTCCCAGCCAGTTCAGCAAAGCAAACATTTTCAGAGAGAATATGACCAGCCTCTCAACTGGTAACAGATATCAAAGATAAATTCCAGTTAAACCCAGGTCAAATAATCCTAAGTTCTCAATGATGGAAGTCTCTGAATTAATAAGTTTTACTGAACTCTCAACTTGTTTTATACATTCCCATTGAAGAGATTTCACTGCGTAACACAAGAATGCTGCGAGTCAGTCGATGGGTGAAACAAGCACTCTAAGACTCGTGTGCACATAGAAACGTTGATAACCATTAAAGCACCTCGAATATCAATCCTGCCTAGTTAAGAAATAAACCCAACCCAACCTTACTTGCGCAAAACTTGGAAAGAGATTAGATGCAAATCTTTTAAATGCTTTTTTTTTTGATATTAAAAACCTTTATTGCACTTTTAGGTAGTTATATTGCCAAGTTCTTAGGCATATGTGCGTTACTTGCGCAAAACTTGGAAAGAGATTAGATGCAAATCTTTTAAATGCTTTTTTTTTTTATATTAAAAACCTTTATTGCACTTTTAGGTAGTTATATTGCCAAGTTCTTAGGCATATGTGCAAAAGTTGTATACATATATTAATATATTGGTCATAAATTGAATTAAATATTACTTGAAATGTTTTTGCTTGACAAACATTATACAGACCCTTAAATTATTATTTGCAAAAAAAACCAAACAAAGAAAACAATCCCCTTAATTTAGTCCTTATTAACTCTAAGAACTTGATAATTGTGACAGGGCTGTGATGGGTGACCCCTTGGTCATACTTGTATGTAGCCTATTAAATGCTTTAAGTTCTCTTTGATCCTCTGATAATCACCCTGACTTCTTTTTCACTAGCGTTTAATAATGGGATTTAATATTGGTTTAAGCTAGCATTCCACAGATGAGTGACCCTCACAATTACCCAAGTTCTCTTTACCACCCGGAGAGCAGGACGGGGGCAGCAGGCCCTTCACTGCTCCTGAGGGTGGACTGCACGCGAGCCCTCTCAGGTTGCACATACGTATTGAAAACCTGTGTGCTTTTAGCAGCGACCTAAGTACTGATCATAAAATCAATAAGCCCTAAGTGATCTGGATCCTGTTTACCTCACTTTCCCCCAGGAACTCACCCAGCACTTGATACTGTTTTTTAAATGGTGTGATGTCCGGTGTTCATTAGGAAGCAGGGAAACAAGGCAGATGTGAGCACGTGATCACGGAGATGACAAATTCTGAAAGGCTCCACTGTAGGAGCATTTGTGTTACTATGACTCATGCGGATTTACCTATTGTCATGTGTTGTTCTTTGCGTTTAATTATCTGTCTGGGAGGCCGGGCCTCTGTGTACTCTGGGGGGGGGGGGCAAAAACAGGGGACTGAACACTGAGGCCCACAATCTGTGGAGCTTTTCAGAAGAAAAGCCCTGTGCTCAGGTTACAGTGTCAAGCTCATACAAGGCTGTTCTAAAGGCTGTTCTTAACTTAATCTGAGAATAAGTTTCTTTAGAATATTTTAGATTTTCTTCCTTGTTTGGCAGCTGACCCTTGTTTTACACTCTGTCCCTTGGGCAAACTAAGCAGCTGAGCTGGAGTCAGCACCTGGGCTGTTGGACATAGAATTGTCTGGTCACAAATCACAAAGGTGTCACCTCTTCCCCAAGGCACACTCTGGGCTCTGCTAGCTTCACCGGTAATTGTCGCAGCTGGCGCTCCCATGCATAACGTTACTACCAGATACTCAACTACTCCAAGTGAGGACACTTGAAAGGATAGACACACTATGTGGACACCACCTCAGCCACACTGTTGGCCTGACAGATAATGAAAACAGAGACACATCTCACCTGCGTCCACCCACCTTAACAATCATGTCAACCTTGAGGAATCGCACATGCCACCTGCTCTGGATCTCTCTCCCAGAGGGACAGGGATCTCAATTCACTCTGGGATGGAGGGGCCCTGCCTCAGAGGGAGCGACAGATGTGGATGGAAAACTGGGCCACTGCTCTTCCTCCTCTAGCTGACGTCCCCAGACCTCTAGGGAAACACTCCACTGAAACTTCCTGTCCCTTCTCTGTCTCCTGCACTACAGGTCCACTCTCATGCCAGAGACCAGACCTGGGCGCTCTTCCTCCTCTAGCTGACGTCCCCAGACCTCTAGGGAAACACTCCACTGAAACCTCCTGTCCCTTCTCTGTCTCCTGCACTACAGGTCCACTCTCATGCCAGAGACCAGACCTGGGGCCCAGGATCCAGCTACACACGCTGTCCCCCAGGGCCAAAGCAATGACATTCTTTCCAATAAATTTTATATGCTCGGCTGTGCTAGAGGGATCTCCCTTTCCTGAAATGTGGGAGACAAAAAAAAAAAAAGTAGCAACCCAGTTAAAACTCAGTGCCATGAGCAGAAAGGACTTCACAAGACACTGGAACTTTGGGATCTCTTAAGTGGCTTGGATCTAAAAGTGAAAGAGTGTGTTTTTTTCACTTCTACCACAGTAATCTACAGCCTACTACCTGGAATCTAGAAAGGTACCTCTGTGATCTGTTTCTCATATCCTGCATGTGTATCAAACTTTAGAATTGGCTATGAGGAGGAGACACAAAAGAGAAGACTCTGGCTTTGGTTTGGATCCCTAAACTAGCTTCATAATCATTAGGGATTATATGTCCCAACAGGCAAAATCCAAACAAACCAAATCCTATTCAACCAGCCAATCTTTGTAGCTAGCACCATGCTTAGAGCAGAGTCGAAAGGCAAAGGACACAGGCAGCTCCTGGCTGACCTGAGCCGGGCCTCAATCCCCGTGTGCACCCACAGCTTCCCTGCTCCTATTCCTGGGCCACACACAGAGTCTTTGGGTTTTCTGTAAATGGGTCTAGTTTTGATCAGAAAAGAGACAAAGAGGTAAACAGAGAGAAGTGTCTGTGACATTTCGGGTCCAAAGACAGCTTCTAATGCAACTAAAGAAGTGACTCATATTTGGCACCCGCCTTCACCAGGGCCACACTAAGTAATGAGAGCTTTCAGGAAGGTGACATAGGCAAAATACACAATTCAGTTTTGTTAACTGAATATTCATTCAAGCTACTGACTACTTTTAATTTAACCAAAAACTCAGAAGATGACAAACACACTACCTTACCAACTTATGAAAAATATAATTTGCTCCTCTAAAATAGCTTTAGAAATGACATTTATTTTTGTTGACAGCACTCCATGCATTCCAAAAGACCTCCACGCACAGCCAACTTTGGGGTGGAAAGACCAACGACATGCTGAAATTAATTCTGTACCTAAATATCAGTCGGTTTTGGTAAATGGTCATAAAAAGCCTGCTAAGTTTTCATTATACCTATAAAAAATATCCTTACAATAATGATGAAACATCCACTAACAGTAAATAGCAATATCATTTCAATGAGGGATTTTTTTAATACTTTTAATTGAAAGACTTTTCCCAACTGGGAGTGATTTCCTTTAGGCCCTAAGGTGAATTTAAAATTTGGAACAGTTAATTAAATTCTATTTATTTTTTTAAGATGAATTAATTCACCAATTCAATTTTGGAGGAGCTCAATAAAGCAATTTCAACTTTAATATGTAGTAAATAAGGGAATGAAACGGGGCTGGTGTGACCCAGTGTTATCAGGCTCGACGGTAGTTTGCTTCCAGAGCCTCACGCTTCCTCCCACCTCCCCGACAGCCTGACCCCATCAAACTCTTCCCCCATTGCCTCCTTGCCACTGTGATGCTGTGACTCTTATGCCCGACTGATGACTCTTTGCTATGATGTTAACTGAAAATCAAGAGGGAAAGGGAGATGAGAACCTACCCAGTGGCCTCTAATCATTATCTCAACTAACCTGAATGTTCCTGTATCATGTCATGCAACGTGGAAGACACAGCCCATCAGATTCTGTAATCTATAACTCTGACTTGTAATCAATACTAGAAGGATAGACTCACGAATGAACGGAAACAGATAAGAACCCAGAAATACACAGGCAAGTCTACAAGTTAGATGCAACTAATGTAATTTTAATTTTCAATTATTTCAAAATGCATTTTCTAGCATTTTCAGCATCCCCAATTCTAGGTTAAAATTATATTTCTGACTCAACTCTCCTGCACATTAAATACTTTCTTGCACAGAAACCAAGAGGGTCCTACTGAGCAAGATTCTGATGTTGAAAGAAATCCCACCACTTTGCCAGTTTTTTGCTAACCTCACCCATAACCGTGCTCCAAATGTTTATTTCTATTGTCTATTTAATGTGAATTAACTCCAACTCCCCATAGAGGAGTTTCTCTAGAACCTTCTACATTCAGTAAGATACCTTAATTCCTGGTCTTTTTGGACAGATAAATACTTTTACAAACCCAAGTAACAAGGAAACTTTGCAGGTAATCATATACAAGGTACTTCAAAAGTTCATGGTAAATCAGAATTAAAATATGAACCTCCCTGTGAACTTGTTGAAAGCTCCCTGTGCCCTGCCCCTGCTGGCTTGTTCCTCTGTCCACAATGACCTCGACTGTGGTGTGTGTTCTGGTGTAGATGAAGCACAATAATTTCTGTGAGGTAGACACTGCTATTTTCTACTATAGTCTCCATTGTAAGATAAGGAAACAGGAGGTGGGAGATAGAAAAACAGAGGAAATTTTTTTTTTTTTTTTTTTGTCTTTTGTCTTTTTTCCGTGTCCGGCAACGGATTGCAACCCTCAGTGTTGCCCCCGTACCGGACCGGGGACCGGCAACGGGATCGCAAGCCTCGGCGTTGCTCCCACGCCTCGCTCAGCCAGTGAGCGGGAGCCGGTCTGCACATGGGATCCGAACCCTCGGACGGGAGCGCCGCCGCGCTTCCCAAGCGGCGCACTATCCAGTGCGCCACCGGGCCGGCCCAAAAACAGAGGAAATTTTGATCACCTCTTTCAAGAAATTTATAATTTTCCAAAAAACATACAAAGTCATGTTTTCTCTTATAAATATATTTTCCTTAACATATTTTCTTTATTCACATTTAAAAATCATCCAGTTTTCCAAAAACTCTGTATCCCTTGGGTAATCATAACCTATGCTGAGCTTAGGTAATCAAACGTATCATGGGTCCAGTATAAACAAGTACTCAAGCTTAGCACACTTACAAGAGACTCATGTCCATGTGGGCCCTCAGAATTCTGATGAGCTGGAGAGCAATTTATATATCTATATATCTATATCTATATCTATATATATATATATATATATATCTCATATTATTTCAGACAAACTGCTAGTAATCCAGATCTTAAAAATGAGTAATTCAAACATATATATATCTATATATATATATATATATCATATTATTTCAGACAAACTGCTAGTAATCCAGATCTTAAAAATGAGTAATTCAAACATATACAAAACATGGTATATAATGATTAACACTAACAGAAAGAGTAATGATCCTCATTCAGCTTTAATAATTATCATTAAATAGTCAATCTTCTTTTGTCTTCCCCGACTCCTCCCCCCCAGATTATGTGGATGCGGCTCCCGCACGTCCCACCATCTCACATGACAACACGCTCCACTGACCCTCTCAAGGGTTACACCATTAACGCAGACATGCTGCTCACTGTTGATGGCACCAACACCTAACCAGGTCCCTCCAACGATGACAGGCACACTGTAACGTGTGACATGCAGGTAACACAGTTTCAAGGAGCACTCACTGTTTTAAGTAAATTATGAGTTACTAACTTTTAGGCACATATTTCTTATTCCTCATAAATTTCTGACTGTCACATCAATACTTCAGTATTAAAAATCTGATTTAAAGTTCCTTTTCTGGCAGAAACAGGAAGAAAATTGTGTACAGAAATATAAACTTTAGCAAAAAAAACCTGTTTTCTAACCTCAGTCATAAGAGGAGCTGGTAAACAGCATTTTATTTTTTAAAAATTTTAACTTCTCAATATACATTGTAGTTGATTTTTGTGTCCCTTTACCAATTCTTCTCCCCCCTCCCTTTCTCTCCACTCCCGCCCCCACTGTATCATATCTGTTCACTTGTCTTATCAAGTTCAAGGAATTATTGTGAGTGTTGTGTCTTCTTCTCCCCCACCCTTTGTTTGTTTGTATATTTATTTATTTATTTTTAGCTCTCACTGGTAAACTGTATTTTAACTGGCAGATTAAAAGAAATGAACTCTAAACACTTTCCAAACCATTTCACACAGCGCAGAGGAGCAGGAGAAATTCCGGCATGCAAAAATCACGTGTGATACTTGAGAAGAGGAAAGTGGAAAGGGAAATGGGTCTCAAACTGCTACGAAGTTACAAACACCCACCTTGTTGCTGCCTAGACTGCTCGATGGAATGAGATCTTGTCGGCTTCCAGACAACTGGAGAAGAAACAGAGGGAAGTGAGTCCTTCACCAGGAAAAGCATCTACACACGTGGTCCAGGACCCGCCAGGCCCTGAGGACCACATCACCCGAATGTCAAAGTCGGATGGCAGCAGAGAGGCTGAGACCAAGGCTGCAGACGAGTGGCCTTGGGACATCAAGAAAACTGAACTGGTGCCAACAATTTCCAGATGAGAGGTTTATTGAGATGGGACACCCAGTCTACAGTGCAGCAACGGCAGACTGGAGGTGACACCGTGAGGGAGACTTCGCTGGTGATCCCTTCTGAGTGAGAGATTCCAGGCAATCTCACCATGGCCTGAGCTTAGGATCCCTTGCTCTGGGTATTGAGCAAATGTAAACTCACCAACTATTTTAAACTATAGGATCCCAAATACCAAATCTCTGCATATGTGACATATTTTCATATATCATTCCTTCAGGAACGAGAAGGTTTTCACCTTGTATGAAAGTGGTATTTGTAAATGTCTGAGAAGGGTCCCGATCTCTCTTCCTGAGACCGTTAAGTGCTGTCATTGAACAGGCACCACGAGGCCGCGAGGGGGCCCCAGCGTGAAACCCTCCCCGCTGCCGCCTCCTCCCTGGACTGTGAGGCGCAGGCTCTGCCACGCTGTCCTGCAACGCTCGTACCGTGGCTTTTCTTAGTGAGAAGTTACACAAAAGTGTGATGCTTCTCACGCCCACATCTTTATCAAAAATGAAGAAAGGAGAGGTAAATCCAGGGGCCAGGAGCATATTTCTCTGAAGAATTATTCCCACGTTCCATATTCCATATGCACATAAATTATATCTATGTTTTAAAAAAATAACAAACTTCTGTCACCACTGTGAAACAAACATAACCTGTTTTACTCATTTGTACTATCCTGGATGGCCTGTAAGCAGTTGCTTTGTAAACCTGGTCCAGGATTCTCAATTTAAAAGTAATTAATTAAAGCTCAGAAAATGTAATTGGTTCTTCCTGGGCACGGGGCTAGTTGGGGGTTAGTTCCACAAACACCCACTGACCACTCACAGCCTGTGCCAGGCAGTGGTGACAGCACGCTGAATGGGGAGACTGGACAGTCCAGAAAGGACACTTCCTTCCCCTGTGATGTCAGTGGGAATGTGGCAGAGGCACGGACGCTGCAGGTGAGGGAACAGAGGACGTCCACCAGCCCAGGGAGGGAGGTGACACCTGAGATGAGGGTTAAAGGACGGATGGAGAGAGTCACCCGAGCAGAGGCGAGGAAGGTGCTGGCGGACAGGGCACAGGTGGGGACGCATGTACTCACCCTGTGCACGTTGGGAGAGCTGACGCTCCTCCTATGCAGCTTCCCTCTGCCTGTCAGCTGCTCCTTCACCGCGACTTCCTGCAAACCAGAGAACACATGTACTCACCCTGTGCACGTTGGGAGAGCTGACGCTCCTCCTGTGCAGCTTCCCTCTGCCTGTCAGCTGCTCCTTCACCGCGACTTCCTGCAAACCAGAGAACACAGGCAGGAGAGACACACATAAGAGACACACGCACAAAGCGGTGCTAGGTAAAGCAGGCTTTGACCTGCCACCTACACGCAGACACTCCTGTTAGGGAAACAACGGCGGTTACTTCATAGACAATCACTCTGGATCATCCGAAGTTAATTACAGCAGCACTCCTCGAAGGCTTAGATGCAGCAACACTGAGAGTTACAGGAGGCAGCGCCACCAGTGCCACCCGCCCCGCCACTAACCTGGCGGAGGCGGTCTAACGTCAGCAGGTTCTCCACGGCCAGCACGCTGCGCAGGTACTTCTCCAGGTGTGCCTCGGAGTCGGCCGACGCCGGGTTTTCCACATTGGCTGCCACTCTCGCTAACGCCTCTCGCTCCTCTACCCCCTGGGCATCCTGGAGCGTGGAAAGTTGTAAGGTAAGCTTAAGTATGTGCAGAAGAAAACATCATAGAAGCTTTGTGACCTGTGCATGCGTGTGCACATGCACACACACACACAGAGTTCTGACCCCACGAATAGAACATACTCCAAAGTTCCATCGTCAAGTCAGCTTTTGGAACTCAAAATGCATCTTTCCACAGAAATGATGAAACAGTGATTAGGGTATTGTGTCGACTTGAAAGGCTACTAAAATATTGATCATAAAAGGTTAGAAAGGATTTTGTAGGCTGCCCACAAATACAACCACCTTTACGACGATACCTCAGGAACGTATCTGCCCATGAGGAGCAAGAGAGAGGAAGAGGAGCTGGATGACCACTAGGTAAGGGGGATCCGAACGAGCCCGCGGGAAGTAGACACGGTGGAGAGCAGGATGGAGCCAGGGCGCGGCCTCAGCCTGCGCCAGGCCACCTGCCATAGACCACACATGCAGCACGTGGCCGCTTCTGAGACTGGCCCTGAGCCTCGACTCTGGAGTCGCAGTGGCCGCAGGCTTGGGGCCGATAAGCCTGCGGGAAGTAGACACGGTGGACAGCAGGATGGAGCCAGGGCGCGGCCTCAGCCTGCGCCAGGCCACCTGCCATAGACCACACATGCAGCACGTGGCTGCTTCTGAGACTGGCCCTGAGCCTCGACTCTGGAGTCGCAGTGGCCGCAGGCTTGGGGCCGACCCGGAAGCTGGCCGTGCACGTGAACGGGATATTTACAAGTCGGGGAGGGACTTATTCATGTATTTAATTACTTCAAGCAAAGCAGGTTCATAACAAATTACTCTTCTCAGGGAAGATCAGACATTTTATTTACTGTGGATTTCTTATAATAATGTCAAAAACTACAAAATGTACATCCATATGCCGCTGCCTCCTAAATGCCCTCAAGTGCAAGACAAAACATAATTTATATACGGCTAAGAAAAAAACCACACTGCCAATTAATTTTAAGATACAATCAATTATAAGATCCATTCTAACTCCAAAGATACTTTTTCCAAAGGTATTTTTCAAAATTTAAATGAGTCTTAGAATAGACAAAATGTGGGAGGATTTTTAAGATGGCTTAAGTTCACAAAAGCTTTTGTCTCCTACAATAATTCACCTGAGGCTGGTAATAACCATGAAAAAACGGAATCATTCTCATTTCATAGGTGACAAAAAGCGGAGGGTCCCATACTTGGAAAGAAGGCAAGACCGGAACGTAGGTCTCCTGACCTGGTTGGGTCTGCTTTTCACCGCCCAACACAGACGCTTCTGGTGTCTGCAGGGGACGGACACCTGCTGACCATGTGAAGAGCACAATGAGCTGTCAGGGCCTCTGCAGGAGGAAACCCAGCTCTCTAAGGGATCTTTTTACTTGAGTCTCGTCTTTACACAACAAGCTTTAAGGCTCCCTTCTCTTTCTCTGTCACCAGGATCTGATACTGTGGAAGCGATGTTTGCCAGCTTAGATGTTTAGCTGATCATTAACAGCCCAAACACATGAGGTTATGTTTATCTTTAATCCGATTCCCCCGTTTCTTCCCTTTTAAAGCCCTACCACGTGAAGAACAAAAGCACTTTTAAAGAGAATAAGAAAACTACAAGTAGGGTAGACAGGGAAGGGAGGGAGATGAAGAGAGAAAAGCGAAAAACGAAGCTGGTTCACTAAGCTGCCTGTTTCTCAGCGCATTCAGGCCGTTTTTAGTGAGCATCCGAAACAACCGGAAAAACACATAAAACACTCAGACACAGACGATGAACAGTCAGTCTCTAGCTAAACACATACATGTTGCGTATCCTGGTTTGAAATCTTACAAAGAAGGGTGAATGAGATTTTGCAGCTAGCCTAACTGCAAAAAGGCTTCCTTTAAAATTGTTCAGCAGGCTCCAAAGCAAATAGTTAAACAATTAGTATTTACCAGGTAAGCTTAACACTTTGAAGATCCAGGAAAGAATCAGTTACTATGTGACATTATTTGAGAGGAAAAAGCATTTTGCAAAGGAAGGTATCTAAAACAAAACTGCATAATCTACCTTTTTCCTTTCCAAATGCTGATCTCTGTATTAAATATATGAGAGTACCTCAAAAGGTTGTGGAAAAATGGAATTAAAGATAATACGAAATTTTCCACAAACTTTTTGAAGACCCTAAGTCCTGAAATGAAGGAACGTGCTGGTGCTGAAGCCGTGGCTGGTGGGGCCCCGTGCTCACCCCATCTGTGCTCACCCCGTATGGCATCCACACTTCTCTACCCCCAAGGAAACCTCCACCTCCGCCTCCTCACTCAACCCTGTGTGGTGGTGGCTGTGGGAAAGGGACTGATCTTTCCCCTTTCCACAGAGTCCTTTTCTTTAAGACCCTCGCTTCTCCTGCCCCTGCAGGGACACCTCTGTTACCCAGCTGTGCCAGTGCCTGGGGGAATAAATCTAACCCAGGGTTTAAATATCAGGAAGCATGGATAACCACACCTTTCATCAAGCTTCTATCAGGGATGCTTTAAGCTCCACTTGTCTGAATCCTCTGAATATCTCAATTAGTTCAGAAAGAGAAATAATAATAGCAGTGAAAAAAAAAATGATCATAGTAACAATAATAATAAGTGATCACGGGCCGACCCTGTGGCACACTCGGGAGAGTGCAGTGCTGGGAGCGCAGTGACGCTCCCTCCAGGGGTTCGGATCCTATATAGGAATGGCTGGTGAGCTCACTGGCTGAACGCAGTGTGGGCGACACCACACCAGGGGTTGTGATCCCCTTACCGGTCACGAAAAGGACAAAAAATAATAATAATAATAATAAGTGATCACAATGTACTGTTTAGCATGTGCACAATCTGCACACATTGTCTCATTCCCCTTAAAAACAGCCCTGTGCGGAAGGTATTACTAACCCCATCCCACAAAGGAAAAAATTTAGGCTCAGAGTAATTCACCCAAGTTGACTTTGCTGATAAGTGACAGAAACAAGATTTCTGTTTGACTCCAAAATGAAACGTGAGTCTCTACGCTATGCAACATTGTCTCCCTTCGTGGGTTACAATACTGCTATCATCCGTGTCTTCTATGAGTGAAAAGGTGTTGATCTGCTTCTCAAAAGAAAGATCTTCTTCAACAAAAAACTAAGACCAGAACTTTTTAAAGCCACAAATACATTTTACTATGAATTAAGATGAGGAAATTCCTCTAAAAATCTATAACATTTCCCTAAATATACATTTTCATTTAGTACATATTTCTTGGGTAGGTGACTTTCAGGGAGTTAGCTCCTTTTAAGTGCTTATTTTTAGTAAATTCAAATTGCTTATAATCCTTTACCTCTGGAATATTGGAGACAATTTCAAAAGTCACTCCACAGCCAGGAATAGAACTTCGATGAGACATCTTTTTTAGGAGACTCTGAGCAAAACCCTAGAGAAAAACAAAATAAAAGTTATGGTTTCCCACCTCAAAAATTGAGTTTACATTAACAAAGAGACAGCACACAGGATACTGCATTTATTTTAACCAAAAGAAAACAGAGCACATCTCCAACTTAAGCAAGTAAATTCCAAATTGCCAAATACAGTTTCTTCAACTTCATCTTACTGTAATACCAATTTATTAGACTCCTGCAATTGGGAACTATACCCAATATATAAAAAGTACAGACCGTAAAGCCCAGAAACTGGAACTAGGCATCTGCACATACTCTGCTTAAATGCTACAGAAATAAGACCATTGACTTCCACACTTGTGATGACCTCTAACTGGGATGTAAGCAAGGACTGGTGATGTTTATGCTTTTTTCCCCCAGCACGATGGACATCTTGTACCATGAATATCGACAAGTTCAGGCATTAAATTCTTGACCAAAGCAGGATCGTTATGAAGGATGATTTAAGAGTGCATGGTCATTGTTTATGCTGACTGCGCTTTTTGCACAGTTAAGAATTGAGCTGCTGAATTAATGCACAGATGACTCATTCGAAGATGCTGCTAAGACTGAACACCCATAGAGGTTGAAGAGAGCAGGGATGAGAGTGGAATACAATTGCTGAATTAAGGTAGGGAGGAGAGAGAACAGGGGACGGGCACTGGGCCTGTTTCCCATGCAAAAGGAGAGGCAGAAAGACGTGAAAATCCCCAAAGAAGATAGAAAAATCAAGTTATTTGGACTTAGAAATACATAATTTCACAAACCGACCTAATAATAATGTATTTCATATTCAATGATCTTTAGTTAATTTCTTTTTTTTTTTTTTTTTTTTTTTTTTTTTTTTTTTTTTTTTTTTTTTTTTTTTTTAAAA